GCTCCATTGGCTTCGGTGCGGCCCGAATCTTCTTGCTCCGCGCCACCAACTTCAGATTGCACAAGCGCGTCCGCCGATGCATCTCCCTCGTCATCTGCTGCAGTGACCTGCGCCCCATTGTTGCAGTCTACTGTGGAGCATGTACCATCTCGTGCCTCGCCCCGCGCTTCTTCTGCACTCCAGGTTCCATCCAGCACTTTTGCCCGCACCTCAGTGGCGCTCCAGGCCTCATGTTTCTTTTCCGGCAAATTAGCCGCATCTCCAGCTATTCCAGAAGCCTCATTTTTCCCTTGAAAGGTGGAATCCATGGCACCAGACGGAGAAACCTCCTCAGTCGTAACACACAACTTTTTTCCTCCATCATCCTCATCTCCAGGACCAACCTCCTGAATGCCAGATACTTCATCCACCACCTGCTCCTCTGTAGCCGACACAGCATTCACCTCCGCATTGGGAATTCATCCTCCGGATCCACAGATTTCACCGCTGCGTCACCCTCAGAAAGCGCTTTGCTCCTTTTCCGATCCAGGTGTCCTCCAGCCATGTCTTTTTGTGTTCCAGAAATTCTATCCTCCCTTGGGGAGCCCGAGGTCTTAGCAGCTTTACCGGCCCTTAGACCGCTATCCCCGACGGTAGAGGAAAAACCTTTTTCTACTAAACTATCTACACTACCTTGGAACGCCCTTGTAGACTCAGCTGTCGGAGTAGACGATGAAGGACCCAGTGCAGTCTCCAACTCCAGTTCATTGCCTGAAAGAGACTCAACCACCTTGTCACTTTCCATCTTTTCACCTTCCTCCGGCAGTGTCCACCTAGTTTCTCCCGTATCCAGGCAGTAAAAACATAGCCTCCCATCTTTGTGGAAATGTCGCTCCCAAGTTGTCCCATCACTTGCCTCGATAGGATGCCCTTCTTCCTGAACATCATTCTCTTCCGAGACTTGAAGCATTTCTGCTTCTTCGGACAACTGTCGCATCCTTTCAACCTCCATCTCTAGGATCTCCTCCTCCCCCATGGCGTATTCAGCAGTAGGCGCAGCTTCAAAGCTGTCCGCACCCTTTGTCTCCTGTTCATCACCGCCTTCATGGCGCATGGAACTCGCTGAGGGATCCCGTTTTATCTTGTTCAGAGGTTTCCTGGAAACTTGCAACACCGCTCCACTCAGATTGGTCTGAGCCCCTTGATCGACCATTCGGCCCGAAGTTGAAGTCGACGGCTGATACCCATGCCTCAGCAACACGCGTAAAACGGTCGCCTCCAGTTCACGGTCTATACCACCAGTTTCATCCCAGTTCCTCTTTTCCCCAGGCTTTGGCGATACAGAAACAGCTCGTCCTTCACCTCCAGCATTGTCAACCATGTCCGCATTGGGATCCGTACCCTCATGGGGGCCTCTAGCAACCGTTGTTCCCTCCAGTTGTTCTTCCGCAGCACCAGGCATCACTTCTTCTAGCGCCGCCTCTTCAGCCAGAGAATCAGTTGCACCACTTTCAGCTCCACCACTTTTACCACCATCCGAGGAAGGCTGGAGCCATCGTTTGGGAGAAGGCATTGCTTCTTGAACCCAAACCCTTGAATGAAACACCTCACCGCAGGGAACCGTTTGGGCTCATAACCTACGGGGGCAACCGAAAGGGGACCAACCAGGGTATCAACCCTCAACAGTTGCCTGAATGAATTCCCCAGAACGAACCAGAAAGACAAACACACAGGGTTAAAGTTCACCAGGTCAAAGGAAGGGGCACCCTTACACAGGTAGAGGGGCGCTAACCCAACCCTCACTCCTAAACACGAACTTTTTTCTTCGGACGGGCTGGCCATCCTTGAGCCAGATAAACAGCGGGTTTTGCAACCCTTCCAACACTACCTTTTATACAAACTGCAGCTCCGCATAGGGTGTAGGGTTTAGGGTGTAGCGTTTAGGGTTTAGGGTTTAGGCTGAAGGGCTCTGCGGTACTTGCTGTCTGATTTCGACAAAACGGTTGGGCTTTTCACTCTAAGCACCAGCCGACGTGGCACTAGCAACCTTCTGCTATTCCCCTCTCTAACCCCTGTATTTACCTGATATGTCCCTAGTTCCCTAAGTAGCCCCCAAATAACCCTTGAATAACCCCGAAGATCTCTTACAAGGGTCCCTCCTTCAGTCCCTTGATTCTGGGTCCCCCTAAGCCCTAAACCCTAAACCTAAACCCTAAACCCGAAACCCGCCTGCCACCCCACTCTCTTGTCTTTTGGGGTAGGCGGGCGCTGGTCGAGCGGTCAGTGAGATACTGGGAGGGAGTGCAGGCGGGCGACGAGCTGGCCTCCAGCCCGCAGGCAGGCTTGGGTCCTGCATTGGAGGGCCCCGGGACGGCCCCCGTGAGACCCCTGGGGCCGTTCTGGGGGTAGGCAGGGGTTTTGGCCAAAAACGGGGTGGCTCTGGATTGGCTGGTCTGACCCTGGGCCCTGGGCCCTGGGCCCTGGCCATGGCCCTGGCCCTGGCCCTGGCCCTGGCGCTGGCGCTGGCCCTGGTGGCCCTGGCTGGCCCTGACCCTAACCCTGGCGCTGGCGCTGGCCCTGGCCCTGGCCCTGCCCTGACCCTGGCCCTGGCTCTGGCCCTGGCCCTGGCCGGCCCTGCCCCCTAACCCTGACCCTCAAAAATGGCTGGGCCTTGATCCTGACCGCTGCCCCTCTGTCCTGACTAGTTTTGCGGCCCTGGCCTGTTCGAGTCATCTTACCCCCTTGCGCCAAGCCAAGCTGTCCGCGCACCAGTTTGTGTCCTGTTTCGGGGCGCTCTTTAGCCCCTTCGCGCCAACCCAATCTGTCCTGCCTCGCTTCCGTCTGCTACAACTTTGTGCCTGGTCCTGACCCTGGCCCGGCACCCCACCTTACCCCCTTCGCGCCAAGCCAAGCTATCCGCCACACCAGCCTGCCCAACCCAAGCTGTTCACTGCGTGTTCTTCCTGGCTGGAGCCCCTTCGCGCCAACCAAGCCTCGCTGCCTTTCTCTGTTCCTGGCCCATCCCTTAGCCCCTTCGCGCCAAGCCAAGCTGTCTTCACGGACCCTGCCTCGTTTCCGTCTGCTGCAGCTTTGCGCCTGGTCCACGCACCTTGTGGAAATCCCCAAAAAGGGTGTGAGTGCTGACTCATGTGATGCTTTGTAAAAAAAATAAAAGGTCTTAACTCCTTGAGAGTTGTAAGTGGGCGGTCTTGGGGTGGGTAGGTCTGCAGACTACCGCGCGCTCCCAAAGCGCGCTCCCGTCTGGCACGCCCTAAACCCTAAACCCTGCAGCCTTGTTGCAAGAAGAGCAAAGAAGCAAACTCCGACCGGACCGTAGAGTCGCAGCCTGGGCATCGGTTTTACAAGGTCCCCTTGTGAAAAATGAAGCGTTTAAAAGTCCCTAAACCCTACACCCTAAACCCTAAACCCTAAACCCGAAACCCTAAATCCTAAACCCTCACTTTGAAAGCCAAGAAGCCCATCTTCAATCTGCTGAAGCAGGTCTTGCTCCACAAAGGGCCCAAAGAGTCCTTACTTCTCCTATAGCCAAGGGGAAAAACGGGTTCAACTTTACTGTTCCTACTCAATCAGGAAACCCTAAACCCTAAACCCTAAACCCTGAACCCTAAACCCTAAACCCTAAACCCTAAACCCTAAACCCTAAAAAGTTCAAAGTTCATGTCTTGGATAAGTGAGAGTCCGTGGATGGACTCCGTGAACTCTTGGAGAGGCGCGGTGAACTGGTTCATGCTGCTCTGGAGCTCCTACGTACCCAATTGTTGTTAGGGTTTAGGGTTTAGGGTTTAGGGTTTAGGGTTTAGGGTTTAGGGTTTAGGGTTTAGGGTTTAGGGTTTAGGGTTTAGGGTTTAGGGTTTAGGGTTTAGGGTTGAGAGCTCAGGGTTTCGGGTTAGGGTTGTTTATTTGTTAGGGTTTAGGGTTTTGTGGCCACCCGTCTAGCCACAGCACAGCGGGGTTCATTGGTCGGACTTAGGAGAATCGGCAAATCGCCACGGCTTACGCCTTACTGGGGGGTCGCCTGAAGCATTCATATTGGGACACTGATGGGACAAGACCGGCGCCCCCTCCAGAACCACATGCTGTGTAAAGGAAAAGGGTTTTTTGCCACCCGCCGACTCTTCAACGAGAAATGCGGAGAACTCATCTTCCCTTTCTGTTTGTTGTTTCCAGCTCCCCCTCACTAAAGAAATGAAAAAGGGTTAGGGTTTAGGGTTTAGGGGGCCTAGCAGCCTCGCAACCACACTGCAGGGATGCAATACGTGTGGCTTTGGGCTTCTCATCGTGAGGTCACCGTGCAGACATGAGAAGACCTTGGACCACCACCTAAACCCAAAAAGCTCAATCATGCCCCCAGAGACTCCAGCGGACCTCACCCGGCTGGCGAGAAGGGCAGGCAACGCATGCCCCACTGCTCTAGTCGACGTCTTGCAAGTAGCTGAGTTTTACTTAGCCCGTTCAGCACGGGGACGTCCCTGGTTTAGGGTTTTTTGTTCACGCCCCAGAGCCCCCGAACCGCAAGACATGCTACTGCTCAAGAGGAGCAAGGGCCTGTTTTCTACTCGGGTCCTTCTTTGGAAACCAGATCCCACGTACCAGCAGCCGACTCGCAAACCCTCAACCACCCAAGCTACCAACAGGTTTCAGAGGCATTTTCCAGTAGACCCTCCTCACACTGACCCACACCTCCAAGACAATCAAACGCATATCCCAACTTGGTCAACTTCACTTTCCCTCTCCGGAATCCGGAGAATTGGACTATTATGTCCTCTCCTGCACCATATAGTAAGGTAATATAGTAATTTTGTCCTGTAGTCGCACTTGCCCCTACCAGAAAGATGGTGGTCACCACCACTGTGCTCACTGTACCAGCAAGCCATACCACCAATTACAGCCATCCAAAAGTTCCCGAAAACCCACAAGCCAAAAGGAAACCCAAAATCCAGAAATGTGACAACCTCAGGCTGCTGTGCCCACTTCGGGCTTAGGGTTAGCTTCTTATGGGCTCACTTGGGCGACAACATCATGCGCGTCCCGTCCTCGAGCTTGTCGCCGGTGAGCTGCTTGTTCACCTCCGGGCGTCTGAGTGTACCAGCATGTACCAGCCATACAGCCGCATGAGCCGCTGCTGATGTGCAAACTCATGTGGATGATTGCGGGACCTACAGCATCTTGCAAGACAAAAAAAACGCGGGGCCACGCCTCTGAACGGGCAGCATCCAAGGCAGTTCCCAGGCTGTTTTCGAGCGTCTCTATCGCCGGCGTAAGCTGCTCCGCGAGCTGCTCGCAGAGGCCACAGCTGTGGCGCAGCGAGGTGCCGTCCGCGCCTGGGTCTGAGTGGGGACATGCACGAGGACTGAGTCAAAAAGTCACCCGGAACTTCCTTCCTCCGCGGCCAATGGGATGTCCGGTCCAACCCACTCTGAGAACACCTCTCGAACTCTGACAGGTATGCCTCGTTTTGTGGCGAGCCACGTTTTGGCAGCTGGTTTGCCTGGCTTTGCATCATGGCGTTAAGCATTGACATTGTTGTCGATGCCAACATCACAGCTTTGGAGATCTTCTCAGTGTCATCGAGTATGCTTCGAAGGTCCTTAGCGCGTTGCATGCCATCACATGATTACCTCGCCCACGCCCTACTTGTGCGATGCCTGCTTTTCCTTCGCCAGAGTGCCGTCATGAACTTGCTGTCTTCATTCAGCGAATTCATGACACTTTCCACTTGCTGGAGGACCGGAATCCTTAGCTTGCCATCAGTGCTCACACGAATCGAAAGTACTCTGCGGACTGAGGTCTTGTTGCTGCTACGCGCAGACAGCTGACAGTCTCAAAGCAGTTCAACGCTGCTAGATCATGTTCTGACTCCACCAGATCTCATGTGAGCCGAATTTTCCCTTCCCTGCATCGTTGGTTGAAGGTGACAACCACCACTCCAACCACAGCAAAGAAACAGCAACAAATCTCAGCGAAACAGGGAACAGCCGGGGCCGGGCACATCATCATGAGTCTCAAATGGCATCCTGTCTCTTCCCTAGCAATGGAGAAGGACATCCGCAAGAATAAGAAGAACAGCAACTGCCACAGCCACTACAAAACGACAACGAAACTGCTTGGCTGCAAGGTGCAGGGCCACTTAAGGAGTCCCATATGTGTTAACCTTCTCAACATTTGTAAACGAAGGCCTGCAAGTCTGCACTGTTCATCCACGTTCATGGCGTCTTATATCGGCCTCCAGCGAACTTCCTAGACCTCCACCAAAAGCCTGCGACTTACAGCTGTGCATATAATGGCCAGCAGCGAACACAAATCCTGGGGCTGGGTTTATCCCACCCAGCGCTAAAGACTCTAGTAACATGATCTCCTGTGCGCCAAGCATCAACCCCAGAAATCGAGGATCCTCACTCCCGGAGAGTGTCATGTTCACAATGGTGGCCGACGTACACGCCTTGGTGGCACTCTGGGGTGTGCACCGCCCTGAACATCGTGCACGCTGAGATTTTCCGCAGTCAGGTTAACAAGCCTGACTTTCAGGAGACTTTGTTGACTAGCATTCGCAAAGACCAGACCCGGCCTTCCCAGAACCATCTCATTACCCAAACCAAAGTAACTATGAGGAAAACTCCGCAGTAGCTCTTGGGCTCCTAAGTACGACGTGCCTTCTCTTCAGCAACGAAGCTCGCGGCAAAGTCTGAACCGTTGGCCGTGCACCTAAACCCTTTTGCTGCAGGCTTCTCTTGCCAGGAAGTTGCCACGAAGCGCTTCTCACAAGGCAACTGTAGCCAGCTGAGTAGCCCATTCTGCCGTTCATCGCAATTATTAAAGGCCACACCTCGACCTCAAAAACATTGCTATCCACGGCCTTTAGCCAAGTGGCCGTCCGCGCTACACCATCTGCGGACATATCCAGCCCTCGCAGCGCCAGCAGCGCTGCCACGACGAGCCCTAGGCCAATAGCTCCTCGTTAGTTGCATGGTCCCTAAATATGGGCCCTTAAAAGAAAACCCCTTATAGGGACCATATTAAGGCCCATGAAACTACCCTTAGACGTGCTGAGCTTCTAGGCCCCCTAGGGTGGCACCCTACACTGGCAGAGATGTTTGCCCAGATGTTTCAAATTCCTGTAGGCAACAAATTGTGATACACGATGGCAGACTTTAAGATGCTATACTATAGTATACAAAAGTAGATTCGATGAAGAGATATAAGAATACCCACTAACTTGGAAGAAGGGTTCGGAGAGCGTGTTTGCACAACCCTGTCCCAGCAGAATGAGAAAGAACAGCTTGCAGATCGCTGGGCAGTACCACCGGCGTCGGCAACAGCGGCATTTGCGGCAGCAGGGAGACCAGCAGCAGCAAAGAAGCCAGATAGCAAAAAAACTTGGCTGACGTGCGCTCGCACAAGAGAGGCTACTATCAGGACGAACTGCATCACTGCACCACTTATGCGCAGGGGACACAATTGCGCGGCCTGCAGAAGTTTGGTTTGCTGGGATGATGAAGCTGCTGCTGCATTTCACACTCGTAAGAGACACTACTCATGTTTACACAGGGGTGAAAGCGAAGGCGCGCTGCATCAAGAAAGTGAGACTGTTCTGATCTAGCTGGTTGCCGCCTATTGCTAGATCCAAGTAGCACAACTGATGCCACAAGTGGGCCCGCCGTTTGAGCGACAAAGCGGGGATCTAGCACCTGCAGACGGCGAAATATCAATGCACTCAGCACAGAAAACTAACCACAAGACACGCTGGTCATGAAACCCTAAACCCTAAACCCTAAACCCTAAACCCTAAACATGCGCAGCAGGATTTCGAAGTTGCCTCAGACATCATCGCTGGGGCAAAGTCATCCCCCACGGTGGCGTTCACAGACCTGAAGACCTCGAGGAGGAAGTTGTCGTACGAAGCCGTAAGCCTTAAGGTTTAGGGTTTAGGGCCTATACTCCCCTTTATGAACCTCAATAAACACATACTATTTTTTGGTGTCCTCTTGGGTTTTTATATGAACAAAATGTATAAAATCATTTCCAAGGGGGATGTAGAAGCAAGTATTCACGAGCAGCCTCGCGCTCCGAGTCCTCCAGCGGCGCAAAGTCCTCACAAGCCTCGGCAGCCTTGGTGTTGGCTTTCGCTGCCAGCTCCTTGCGCATGCTGCATTCGATGGGGCTTAGGGTTTAGGGTTCGACATGTGCAGGAATCTTAATGTGCCGCCCGATGCCTCTCGCAGATTTTGACGTTCAAAAACACTCCCTACACCCTGAGCCATGAACCCAGACACAGAGGCCCTCTGCCAGATTTAGGGCCAAATTCTGACGAGTTGCCAGGTCTTTCGGCTTGATAATCTGTCCAGAAGCCTCAGAGCACACTGGGCTCCGCAAGTGCCTCTCTGAAATCACCTGTGGCCTTTTCTGCACCACTCGCTCCTACTACTCAGTTTTAGATGCTAAGCTTGCCTGACACCTGGGACCATGTGAGTGCTCTCTGTCTCGCTCTGCCTGTCACAGCAACGGCTCCTTTGCAGAGGGAAACTTGTAGATCCAATTGCTGCAGGCAGCTATCCACAAAGTGATTGTGAGCGTCCGCAGCATGTTGCGAATGGCCCCGAGCCTGATGACAACTGTGGACTCCTAGATGTATCAGCGGAACCCTGCCCTGGCAGCTTGATCCAGATCAACATTCCCAGCTCGCAACACGAGGCGCGGCTGGCCTCCCTTTCAAAGAGCTCCGGGCCACGGCAATTAGCAGCTAACGGACATCTAGCTGCAACAGCTTGTGCTCGGCGGCGGGTACAATCATGCCCTTTCAACCAGCACGTCAGGTCCCTGCTGGCATTCAAACTGATGAGGGGACATGATGCAAAGAGGCACCAGTGATAGCCGATCTCGCGAATTGATTGCAACGGTACTCGTGCCTTCTTGTGGGTTGGCAGGGCTACCTCCACACACGTCGGTCCACTACATGGGCTAATTCACTACCTTTTAGCTACTTGCACCACTGCAGGTTATCGATATTACCATAAATAAATGCGACAATGGATAATTTTCCACTCGACTTCCTATTTTGTAACTTCATCAGCATGTTGTAACTCGCAATTGCTAAATGGCTTATGAAATCATATATACATATATATATATATGTGTGTGTGTATGAATTCAAATACAAAACAAAACGTAAACACAAACTCACTTACAAACTCAAACTCAAACTAATACAAACAAAACCTCACAAGCACAAACACAAACCCATACTCAAATTCATCTCAAATTAAGACTATTTGAACATGTCTGCCTTTGCAAAGGCTGATTCTGGTCTACATTCCCAGCCTCTTAGGGGAATTGTGGGTTGTCTTATCTTCAGGGCATTCTTATTACATAACAATGCCAGCATCAACTCCCATCCGTTGCAGCCCAACAATAGAGGACTCGGCATGGTAAACCAGCTTACGACTTCGACATACGAAAAAACGCAAAGATGGGAGGCCTTTTCCACATCCTCCGGTCTGTCCATGGTCACCTGGCACAACTGCATGCACTTGGCGAAGCACACAGCTTCATGGAATGGACAGATTACAAACACGCTGTGCGGGGAAGGACAGACTGTGCCTCGATGTGAGGGAACTCATCAGGTTGCGGCCGAGAGCAGCTGTACTCCCCAAAGGTTCGGGCTCGCAGGACCTAAGCAGATGAGGAACACTGGCATGACAGCACGTCTTTTGGCCAGTTCAACACATTCTCGTCAGGCTTCCCCAGTCTCTGCCCGAGAACCGGTATCTTGACTGACACCATGTGCTTCCGTGTCACAGGTCACTCAACCACGTGGACCCCGTTTGTTGGTCTGCACTTGTGGGGGCCCGCACTTCCATGTCGATCGTTTGACCGACCCTTAGCTGAGGTAGGCTGAGGCGTGGCTTCTTGCACACATACATACGTTCTCAGGATCGAGCCGGCACGTCCCAACAACCTCGCACAGGGGCGAGTCATCGGAAACAGAGGTGTGGTGGGACAAAGAACGCCAAGATCACTCTAACACCCCTTAGTTGTTGTCCAGTATCCCAGGGGAGGTTAACTTTTGGGATCCAAAAAGGGATTCCAATACTACCTACTCTACGACTCTAGACTTTAAGGGCCAAGGCTTCTTCAACTTTTCTCCTCTGACACTGAAACAAAAGCCACCCTTCCTTCATACGCCTCAGTGGCCCGGCGCCTCCTTCAAAAGAGGCTATCGCTTTCATGAAACATCGGGGCCGTTGCGGCCCCTACTCAAACGGTAGTGATGAAGGTCGGTGCGGCGGCCTTACGTACGTTGAGAAGCCCATTCTTGTCAGAATAGAGCAAAAAACACTCCGCCCGCACCGCGCAGGGCAAAACTCTTGGATTGGCTGTGGGAACAGCACCGCTCGGAGCAAGTTCTCTCGAGGGCAAGAAGTTTCTGTTGCTCCCTTGCTCTTTTGCAAGGACTAGAGTGGAAAGCCCACGGCTCACCCAGATATAGCTAAATCATAAGTCAGTGCCTTTTGGCAGCACATCCTCAGTGGCCACATGTCACTGGTGCAAGGCTGCAAGCATCATGTTGCTTTCAGTCAAGCATCCAGTATCTCCTGGAAGCTGGTGATGAACCTGAGCAGAAGGGACGGTTGTTCGGCCTTCTATCCTGATGAATTGAAAACCTCATCGAAGATGCCAGCACAACTGAATGCCAAGCAACCAGTCCGCTCCCTTCTTCACTTTCGATCGCACCTGGACACCACCTTAATGAGTCGTCGTGCGTATCTTTGCTGCTGCCACGCCCGTGCACAAAGACCCGATTGTATACGCAAGTCTCCGTGCAGCGTGGGGCACCATACCCAATGAAAGCGCTGGCAGGTCCGTTTGCCCGCGCGTCAAGGTCCGTCGCTCCGTCTCCGAACATGATCATGGTCTTGTAGCCCTTCTTGCGCTTCCTCAGCTTCACCAGCACGGGCCGAAGGTTCAAGCATCACCAACAGGCTGATCAGCAGCTGGTTACCATGGAATATGGAGTGACGAGCAAGCAGGTTCTTTTGCAAGCTTGAAGGTTCTCGTGCGGTTCAAGAAAGACATGAAACCAATTGGAAGGCTAAATGTGATGGCGCATCATCATCTTCAAAACTTTCGGCTTCCCGCCAGAAGCAGATGTAGGAGCAGATCGGTCGAAGCCAGCATAGTTGCCCTTCTCATCGAACAAAATCTCATTCCTGCAGTGGTGGGCCCAGGACCCTGATAATCCTGATGCCAAAGCCGTCGTGGCAAGAAATGCACCAACGATGGCCGTCAAACACTTCACACATCTTGCTTGCGTGTGCCGCCGCGTGGCGCATAGATCATCTTCTGAGGGATGTGTAGCTCCAGCCTGTGTCTTGCAAGCACGTTCTGCTACCGCGTTGCATGCCTTCGAAGCTTCTGAGAATGTCGGGACAGGCGCAGAGCAAGTGCAAAGAGGTCCACATGTTGCATCTCAACGCTCTGTTCAACTTCAGTCTGCAGAAAGGCACGCGATCGGCTTGATCATGTTTTGGAAGCCTCCGGATACTAGATAGACCTCAGCTGCTCGACATGCAGCAGCCTCATAGCTTCAACCCGTGCAGCCGAGGCACGTCCGTTCCTTGCTTGTGCAGCATCTTTACCACCTCTTGCACGCCCGGCGACCACTGCGGCGCGCCTGAAACAAGCAGCTGTCACCGCAGGCAGTTTTCGGCGCCAAGTGATCGCACAAAGCAACGTCCTTTCACCTCCGTCATCCTCCATTGTAGAATTCTATATGTCTCGCAAAGGCTGACAATGACGTGAGGGTGACTCCCTGGCCTTCGGTCTTAACACACTCCTCGAGCTTGTCCTTCGTCATGCCATGATCGGCCATGAGCTGCAGGCGCTCTGCCATGGCATCCTGGGCTGTGCTGAAATGTTTCACTGGGACCAGGCATGCTGCACGCAATCCGATGCCTCGCCTGAAACTTCACGTGCCCGTCCATGGCTTTGTGGGTCAACTCCGAAATCTCTTTCATGATGCCGAAACATTTTCCGATCAGGTCGATGCCCTCCGTGGTGACCACCGTGCCTGGGGCTGGGCTTAGCTTTCCTGGCACTTCGAAAAACACACCTCACATGCAATTGTGTGCTCAGGCAAGCAGCTGTCCACATCGAAGAAGACAGCATCCGCCTCCAGCAACAGGCGCTTGGCCCGTGCAACTGGGTCCTCGCTGTCGGGCTTGCTGAAGGCCACCGGCGAGAGAGGCGAACCCTCAGTGGATGCGTGTGACACTTGGATTCAATGAGCTTCGCTACGGGGTTTGCTCAGGACGCGCTCCCTATAGGCCTCTGGATAGGCATTCCGACTTGAAAGTGGCGCTGCGCATGCAAGGGCGCTCGAGTGCGCTGCGGGCCGGCTGTCGAGTCACGGCAGGGCTAATTTGGAGCGGAGTTGGACAGTGCGCACATTGCACACGTGCCGGCACGCGCGCCCTCAAGAAAACACGGATGATAAGGTACAAAGTTCAAGGTACTCATCCTACAACGTACCCAAAGCCAGTGCTGCAAGACCATCCGAAGCCAAGATCATGGTTGTGAGAGCATCTGGCAATGGGCCAGGGACTACCCGTGACTACCCAAATCACAGGAACCATCAGCAAAAATCGCCTCAGGTGCCCAGACCAGCCAGAACATTGCCATGGGCGATGCCAGCCACAGCCACATGCAGCTGCGACTGCGACGAAGCATGTCTCCTGCAGGGGCAAGTCCTCTACACTCCAAGCGACCCAAGGATATAGCTTGATCCAGCCTACTAAGACCTCTCTCTCCATATGCCATCCTTCCCAAACCTCTTAGACTTGCGCGTCTCTTGTGAAACTGGGACGCAACCGTGTTCCTGGCCGAAGGGTACAGAAGATAGGACTACTGAAGCGACTTGCGCTTGAGCCCAAAGGTCGCACCCATGTCATCTGACGTGCTGCACGTGAAAAGAAGAGGCGAGTGGCTCTGGGACAAGTTGACAGACACCTCCCAGTCGCAGATGCTACCAAGTCTTGGGAGCCTCTTTCACATCGTCCGTGCAATGGATGGCGTTGACAGCCCCTCCGCTACCTAACATGGTTCACAAGGTGCGCAAAGCGGCGCTCGAATGCTCGGCCAAATGTCAGCCAAACATCAGCCCGTCGGCTCGGATGGACACTTTGAACCATTTGGCAGTCTATGCAGTCTCCAAGGTTCAAGGCTCTGGCGCATGGTCAGCAACACGTCTCCTGGCACCAGCCTTCCACCTCAAGCTATTTGTAACATAAGTGTTAACCGCTTCCCTCATTGGCTGTTCTGCAAGTTGACAACTTGAGGCATGGGGCCTCCATCCGACCTGTCGGTGTGACATCTGCGCATGGAAAGACTGCAGCAGGCCGCAGCATTGCAGCTCAGAGGCCTGGTATGCACGTTGCCCGGCATGGCCTGGCGCAGCCCACGTCCCTGCAAAGTGCCTACGTATGACAGGGAACTCCACCACAAACCAGCGCCTCCGTGACGACAACGGCACCACTTCGCGGCACCCAAGCCCTGAGATCTTCTCACGGCACTTGCTACGGTTGCCATTTTGCCATTGAGAGAGAAAAAAAGCGAGAGAGAGAGAGAGAGAGAGTGAGAGAGAGAAGGATCGAGAAGGGAGGCAGAGCGAAGCAATGGGGCTCCCACGGCGGGCGGCCGCACGCACAACCTATATAAGTGACATCCAAGAGATGACGTCGAGCGAGTGCGTGCTGCAAAGTTGCAGAGGCCACCCATGGAGTCGCAGTTCACATAAGGAGGACACCACAATCGGCACAGCAGCCAGGCCACCTCCGAAGCGATTTTTAACACATCTGTCAGGTCAGCTGTGCCGAAGCTGCTCGGCATAACCCTGGTAGAGAGATACATAGAGAGCACGGCTAGACTGCACTTCGATAGAAGAAAGCAGGTTTCGTTGAATCTTCCTGGAAATGGCAATCTTGTTAGGTCGCAAAGCCAGCTCTGTTAGCCTTGCTTCTGCAGCTCTCCCCCTTGCTGCCCCCTAGTGGCATTACTTAATGTTGCCATACCAAGAATAGGCGCAGGTACATGGGATGGCAAGGAAGTGCAGCACGACTTCGTGTTACCGTGCATCCTGCCCGGTCCTACCCGTACGGAGGAAGTCAGACACTCGACACAAGAGTCCACACACACACACACACACACACACACGGCCCAGCAAGTCATCGTTGTTCCCAGCAACTCTGCCCAGATACAAGCGGCCCCCGCCCCCCCCTGGTGCCATCGACAGGCCTCTCCACGAGAGCAGCATCTGTGAACATGTCCAACCTGCAAGGCAGCAAGCGGAGAAGTCAAACCGAAAAAACAACTTCCGGTTTTCCGCAAGTTGGGCATGTGAACCCTCACTTCTCATGTCCACACACACACACACATTGGCCTGGTCTTTTTGGGTGGCAGCAGTGGCACGTATTCAACCTACGGAACATCCAGATCGTCTGTCACGTCGGTTCCAGTGAGTGCTGTGACGTTTGGCTCCCGACAGGTTGAGGCTCCTGACGCATTGATTCTGGGGGTTTTCGAAACTAGGGGAGCCCCCGAATGTAGATCCCCAAATAATAGGATCCCCTTATTATAATACGCGCCCCAATGAGGTACCCCTAATTTCGGAAAACCCCATATACTCTCCCTCAACTTGTCTCTCATCTCAAGCGATCACAGAGATGACAGCGATGAAGCAAGCTCGCCACGGCATGCCGTTCACACTTCCAGCACTCCATCACATGTTGTATGTTGCATGCTGAACTGCACAGCCTTCTGCTCTCGAGTGCAAAAAGCAAACCTTAGGGGCACTGACCAGCACAGCCAACAAGAAAAGAACAGTCCCTTTGCAGGCAGCATGGGTTTTGAAGCCACACAAGAGCTTCAGGCCCGTACAGCAGGCAGCAGATGAGCAGCAAGAGCACCTCATGCTATCATCTACTAATTCCATGGCATGATTAGTGAGACTCTAGTGCCATAGTCGCAAAGGTGTTACGTAAATTTACAAGCAACCCTGGCGTGGTTGTGACTGACCATGCACGTGCAACGTGTCGCAATAAGCCCATCCCTGATGCAGTCTAGGGAAAGCTACGAGCTAGAGGGCGCAGCTGAGAGGCATTGCATCTTGTGAGACATGTCTTTCGCCACCGTCTGAGGAAGGAGCAACATGTACAGTTTGCTGAGTGGTTGAGCTCGCGGCTAGCACCACAAGCTGCCAGATGATCCACCAGGCTATGTCCTGGGGCTCCTGGGAAAAGAAGGACTGCAGCAGAACTTCGCAACAACCGGCCACCAATGTCTGGCACATTCGAGCACAAACGCAGTGCGGTCCTGCGGACGGGGCTCTTCCTTGATGTATACCTGAAGCTTCTGTAATGCTTGAGTGCCCGATGTGACCCTGAATACAGGCTTACAGGCAACTCAATCCAAAAAGTCTGAGTCCACAACATCGTAGAGCTCATCTTCGATCTGAATGCGTGTGTGTGTGTGAGCAAAAAAAAAACATCACATGTAGGACTTCTTGTCGCGTTCTAGGGGCACACACACACCCCCCAGCAGCAAAAAGGCGCCCCGAGGCGCCGACCAAGGATGTCGCGACGCAATCTGTGTACCGCTCACACCGGCCAAAAGCCTTCAGTCTGATGGACAAGCTTGGAGACCCTCGTGCTTCATGTCATTATTACGATTATCCTGATGATTATTACTATTATTATCTATTACTATTACTATTACTCTTCTTCTTATTTTCATTACTCTTGTTGTTATTACTATTATGCCGCAAGAGGACAGAAGCACAAAGCAGAGCTTGCGGGGCTTTCCTTTGGCAAGTTGGCACTCCTCTCCGAGGCTCTTGCCTTGGAAAACCTGAAGCATTGACAGGACCTGTCCATCAATGCAAGCAAAAAACTCGTCTCGCTGAACACAGGGACTTCTTCATGGAATGATTGCACATGGCGAACACCGTGTCATAATTCATTTATGTTCCAGACTATCTTTCACTGGGACAGCGTCTCTCTGCGGTTGGATAGAAGCGAGGCTTGCACACTGGATCTGTTGCTTATCAATATGAATTGCCTCGTCTTGCACAAGCTCAATGCTACTGCGCTCTTGTATCCTATTCTCAGATACCTTGCTTCTCTTGGTAGAGAACACGTGTCATACTCATCGTCCTTGCGTGCCCTGGACGCTTTGTTCTTGGCACTTCAGCATCTTGGCACCGCGCTTGCTCAATTCACAGCGGCGCTTGCAGGACTTTATGGTCGACGACCCATAGTCCTCGACAACTTTAGCTGAAGCCTTGGGCATCTGCAAGTTGAACTCACTCAAGACCGTCCTCGTCATCTAGCCGCAGGCCAGTCCTAGCAAGACCCATGGCTTCAGAACGGTAGAGCCCACATCTGTGCTAAAGTATGCTCAACCTGCGACGTCTGGAAACATGCCGGCGCGGCGAAAAGTACAAGTTCGAGCGCGGGAACTCTTTCCAAAGGAGGGCAGGGTGACGAATCTCCTGGCAGCTCGGGGAGCAGTGTGAAAATTCGAGGAGAGAAGCGGTCCACCACTTCAAGCGATCCTCTTCAACCGTCTCTTTGTTGGGCAACTTCACATAGAAGTTCTTGCCCACGGAATCCTGCACCCAAAGTGGCTCAGGAACGCCAGAACAGGAATTGAGAAGCAAGAAGAGCAGAGCACAAGCAACTAGCCGTAGTCATAGCCACAACCAATTAGAGGAGCTATAAGCAATACGAACCTTACGATGAAACCCAGTCAAGAACTACGAGTAAGTGGCTTAACTTCGCCTACTCGGGGGGCGCGGTCCTCAAAGTCGTGTATGGCTGTGGTACATGCCCTGCCTCAGGAGCTGTTGCCAACCCAAGGCGACATGCCGACCCCCAAGCATCTTTCATAACTAGTCGAGCGTCGGGACCCTTTGCGCCTCGACAGGTTTAGTCAACTGTTCCACGACTTCCTGACTTTGATGGTCCCATACAGGTACATAATTTTCATTCAAGAATGGATATTCATTTGTTTATCCCGTAATCATGCCGTTCGAGGGAGCGGCATAGGCAGCATACATCATGATCAATATAGTTGAAGGAAGGTGAAATAATCATCATACTGACTCAAGACGAAATAGCATCGGAATCTGCGACCTTGAGCTCGAAGACGATCGAAAACGGCCGGCAAGATCTTTGGGGTTGGGGAGGTGGTTGTCTAAGGAGCTTTCCTCGTCCCTGGGCACGGGATGGCGAGATTCTCATTTGTTGGGGAGTCGCCCTACAGACATCGGTGACGCCAGGGATGTTCCGTTCATCTTGGGGGGCCATTCATCCGAATCCCTAAGCCCTAAACCCCAGATGTGCTTCTAGCGTGGCTAACCCCACATAAACCCGAACCCTAACCTATGAAACGCTTCTGCTAAGCGACCAGTGGGTTGCCTGCATACTTTGCTGAGCTCGCTGCGTTTGTCGCAGTGCTGCGTGGCAGTAGTGTACCTGGCGGGTTGTTGCAATCGGTCACGGTGATTACGGCCGAGAACCGAAATCGCGGCATGTCCTTTCCAGCCTCGCATAGCCATGCCATCTTCTGCTCCGAACAATGTCCGAACAAGTTAGTCACCAGAACACCAATAGAGGACGAGGAAGCGAAGCCCAAAAAGCAGCTGAGCAACCTACTCTCAAAACCGCGGCTATTTGTGTGTCAGAGAGACACTTGGTTGGGAGTTCAGCTTCGAGGTTCTGGATTGCGCTAGATATTTTCCCCACAAACGCAGGCGCCCTACGGCAGCAGGAATGCACTTTGTTGACATCATCCCGACAACCACATAATTGTGTAAGGGGTTGCGGTAACTTCTCACGATCCCCATGGGATCCCTGGTTCAACAAGCTCCCAAGAAGAAACCCCTGATCCAGAATAATCCAGAGCAACACCACCCCCCCCCCCCCCCCCCACATCCCTTCCATGACCAAGGCCACGGCATGAAGCAGTCGCACCTGCAATCGAATCTACTGGCAAGCCCAGACCAGCCCTAGAATATTGTGGTAGGTTCCCTAAAAGTCGCCTCGGCTTCCAGCCAAAGGGCGTCTAGAACAAGCGGACCAGCATCTCGTCTCCTTCCGCCCCTTTACCCGCCCTTGTGGCCGCCAAAGAACCGAGACCTTTGGGTCGCCCCCCGTGCCAAGGAGCCCCCCTAAAAACGCGGCGCGCGCGCGCGCAAGCGTTTACAGTTAGAGCCCGTTCTTGGGTATCCAAGCAAAATATGGGCCGAATGACAACTCGTGTCCCAGAAGGATGAGCACCACTTTTCTCAGTAGTGCTTGCTCTTTCGAGATCATAGGGCGAATCTCTTGGTACAATGCAGGCTCAGCATAAACTGCACAGTGGCCAGTTGACGCCTCAAGGGGCATGACACCTTCCGCCTTCTGTAGCGCATTCATCCGCTCCGCGCTCCCTTCTGGGAGCATGAACGCCAGATATACCAATGGCTCTGCCCGTGGACACAGGCGGTGAGCTTCGAGGAAATGATGGCTGCACTGGGCTGCGTCATTTCCAAACAGATGCACAGCCTGGGCACATACTTGCCCAAGTCCAAGGTGGGCGCCGTAGCGAAGGTACGAGAACTGACGCCAAAGTGAAAGGTCCGAAGCTAAGTATCGCTCCCAAAGCTCTTTGGCAACATCTAAGTTGCTTAGGGAGCGGTGTGACTGAGCCAAATAGAAAATTGCCCTGGTGTATTGCCAGCGGTCGGAATGCGCATCCCGTCGATCCAAGAAAGCCTCCAATAACTGGACATCCTGGCGCAGGCGCGCTTGAGACTGTTCTGCAGTCTTCTCCGCGTCATGCGAAATCCAGAAACTGCCAGCCACCTCGTTGCGGAGCGGTGGCAGCTGGGACTTGTCCGTGTCTCCTACATAATTGATGAACAGATCATTGCTGAGAGTCCGCATCGGGTTGATGTAGGCTTCATGCGTCACGCCCACGTAGCGCCAGGTGGAGTTGCTTGCATTTGGCCATCCTGGCCCGGCATGGTTGTCCGCTCGTAAGAGCCTCTCGGACCAGTACCATGCCTTCGGCCCCATGAAAACACGAAGGTTGAAGACATCCTCAGTGCCGCCGCAGTAGCCAGAGCGCTGGTTTACAAAGGTTCGGAGCTCACCAGGGTTCCTCAGCGTCTCGTCGCCACTTAACATCAACACAAACTCAGTCCTGTTGCCCGCCAAGTGAAGCACGCGATTTCGTGTTGTGGCGAAGTCGACAAAGGGCTCCTCATGAATCTCTAGTGGCAGCTCGGCGGCTGCGGCTGCTTTCCTCAAGATCTGTTTCGTGGCATCACTGGATCCGGTGTCCAAGATCACGGCTGAGTCCACCGCACCTAAGGTCGACTCAAGAGTTTCGCGGATTCGCCTGGCTTCGTTCTTCACAATCATGACCAGGGCCAGCCGGGGCCTAGGAGTGAAGGTGCAACCCCCAGCTGCCCAGCAAGGAAGCTCGACCATCATGTTATTGGAGGACCGCAAGAGGGGTGCAAGGAAGGAAGGGAGGATCCAATGTGGCACTTCCTGGCCTTTGTCTGTCAGCAAGGATCCCAGCACCGGTACATCTCGGAACTGGTCACGCAACGTGGGTAGGCTCTCGAACTCGCCGCGGCGAGCCGCCCCATCCTGCCCCAACAGCACCGATGCCTGCAAGAAAAGGTTGGGCTCGATTTGGAGCTGCTCCAGCATGCGAAACAGAGCTTCCAGTGATGTGCTTCTGTCAAGCTCGATGAAACCCGGCCATCCTGAAAGACTGCTTTCGGGGCTTCCACCTCCACCTAAGGAGATCACCACTCGGCCTTCTCGCAGCAGCCAAGCCGTGATCATGGACGCATCCCCCATGTCCACAACTGGCCCTCTCCGAAGACGCGAGCGTAACAGCATCGAGCAACGTGACGCCTCCACGGCACTCGACCAGGCACGTAGGGCTTCGTCTTTCTGAGGATCAATCTCACTAAGCCGCCGAGCCTCTGCCTGGAGTGCTCTCCCAAGTTGGTGCAGCATCACTCTGCCACTGGCACCAAACCGGAAAAAGCAAGAGCACAAACTCAGGAGACAGACGCGCAAAGTTGCCCTTCCTGAGCACCCCATTGCATCTGCGACGCTGTGACCGCATGTGCCTCGCTGGCTTTGCAGCCCCTATCGCTGGGCTGTGAGCTGCAAGCAGACCCTACTTGCCTCCTCATCATGAGCCACAACATAGGGAGGTCCGTCTCATGTTGGCGAAACCGGTTTCGGGATGTTTCGGGTCAAGAGCTAGTAGCTGAAAAGCACTCGCCGCGCTTCGGCCTCCTGTCATTATCGCAGAGCACCTTGCATTCATGCACCTGGGTGCAGGCGAGACGAGCCAAAGTGCCGACAATTGACTGAGTGACCTGGTCAACATGAAGCGTCGAACCCTTTTGGTTCTGCCGATCCAGCAGCAAGAGTGAGCTTCATGCCCCCTTCCAACCATGAGCATTTTGCCAGCGGCTGAAGTACTGTACCGTGCCAAGCGCCAGAAGTCGTGCAAGAGTGGTCGGAATGTTCAGTGAAAGTACGAAAGCCCGCGTGTACACCTGCAAAACACAGCCAAAAAAAGACGCTCACAGTATCCCATTCATCGACCCACGCTGGCTAGCAGTGCATTTGCCGTTTGGCATGCGCATTCTGCCAGCAAACCATCTCGAATGATACCTCTCAACAAAAAGAGTAGTTGCGCCGACGGCCATCTAAGGGTGAAAGCATGTGAAGCTATGCAGAGTATTCTTGCTGCAGACTTGGGGAATCCAAACCCCTAGGGGAGGAGCCAAGGGCTTCTTCGCCCATGTCTTAGCAGGCCATCTCAATTGCTCCTCCTGGTTCTCCCAGCGCTTAAGAGAAGAGGCTTGAGAGTGCTTCATCGCGGCAGTTGGAAAACCCATCTTCTGGGGCCAATCCTCACTGCAATGCGACATGACGCAAAATCGAGCATGAGAACCTCTCCCTCAGTCAGGTGCCTCTGTTAAGGGCACGTCACAGCGACCACTATCAGCCAACTCACAATCTCTCTTCGTGGAGCCCTTGCAGTTGCAGAAAGGTCCTGTTGCGATCAATGTAGGAAGCTGGCCAGCTCCTCAATTTGCACCTGGCTTTGCGGGTTGTGGCATTGCCTGGAGCCGAGTTCATTCACAAAACACAGCCGCCAACCTTGCCATTGCCGTCCTTGTCAACGGCTTTCAACCTTGAAAAGCTTGAGCAACTCAACGTGCCACAGATGCAGCGCCCACGCAAACAAAAGTGTGCGCTCAATTACAGAAGAGGCGCAGCTCATGTGCTAAAGATCCAGACGCATGTGCTGGCATTCGTGTCTTCAGAAAGGTCTCCACTTCTGCGAAATCTGCCAAACCACCTGAGCACGAGCTGTCAGAAATACATTTGTGTTTACCGGTGCAGCCCACACCCAACAACAGGGACGCAGAATTATCTAAGGAGCTTTGGTTGATTTAGGTTTTGTGTCTCTCGCCTAGGCGCCGTGCGCATTCTACATTGCAAATGCGACCCTCTCGGTGTTTCCTCTCGTTGTTTCCGCGAGCCCGTGTCGCTATTTCCTCTCTATTTCAGCTCATCCCTATCTATTTGCATACGAAACCTCTATTTCCCGTATAGACTATTTTGGCACTCGTCTCTTCGGCTATTCGCTTTATACTTCACTATGAAGCCTGTAGTTCCTCTATGCGTTTCAGTACGACCTCAAGAAAGTTTCCTCTGGGTTTATCCGAAAACCTTCTTTTCCTCAATGCTCCACGACAACACCCGTGTGTGGAGGTCTCGTAGTTAAGGTGCGCGTGTTTAGTACAAACAGAACATATCATTATCGATTCGGTGAAAGATCCGGCAGTTCATCAAAACCCGAAATATGAACTGCAAAACAGTATTCGCTATCTCTTGAAAACAACAAATTCATTGCAGGCGATGACTTTTGCACAATATTTTCGCATGGATAAGCATGTGCTTTTTTATTGGCAATGTCTTTCAAAGAAATATTCTAGTGAATATTCGTCTGCAAATACAATCTACTGTATGAACTGGGCTATGAATTCCAGACCACCTAGAACATCCCATTTCTACGATACGCAACGTTCAAAGAAAAAAACTGCAAAAGCAGTTTTTTTAGATGCACATGCATTCTAAGCCTTCCCTTCCCCTCCCCTTCTCCCCTCCCCTTCTCCCCTCCCCTTCTCCCCTCCCCTTCTCCCCTCCCCTTCTCCCCTCCCCTTCTCCCCTCCCCTTCTCCCCTCCCCTTCTCCCCGCGCATTCGGGCCAGCTTGCTCAGAAGTGCGGAAATTTGTGCGGGCATTGCTGCGACGCGGTGCTACCGGATCGAGAAGTGGAATCGACACAAGCCTCTGCGTTCAAGTGGCTTTGGTCTTTGTCGAGTTCTGCGAAAGCCTTGAGCAAGCCATCTTGCATCTCAGCCGGGTCAACTGCGCCGTCGCGTGACCTTGTTCAGTCTCGGGGTAGAATACCGCCAAGACCGCCAAGACAAGGCAACTTATCTAAGCCGAACAGCTGTTTGTTGAGTTCTTGCTGTTATTCATTGTTTTCCGACATGAGCCAAGCAGAGCCGGACAGCTGAATTGCACTGAATTGCAGACGTGCATCACATCCCACTCAGCGTATCCCAGCAGCAGTCTCCATAGGTCCTTCATGCAGACCTTATCTTGAAAGGCGACATAGAGGCCCTTCCCAGAGGAAGAGGGGGCGAGAACAGATGATTCAGAGAAACCCTAAACCCTAAGCCCTACACCCTAAACCCTAAACCCTAAACCCTGAACCCTGAACCCTAAACCCTAAACCCTAAACCCTAAACCCTGAAGATAAACACTCCGGGCCACCTCTAGGATGACCGGCTTCGCGAGGACGCAGCACTCCTCGAGTTCCCGCACTTCACATTGACACGAAGATCATATGTGATATATGTACCTGCCCATTACTGTGATTATTATTATTGTTATGATTATTTCTTATTATTATGACTATTATGATTAGTATTATACTATATGATATAAGTACCTCTGTACCTATCCCTTATTATGATTATTGTTATTACTATTATTATTATTATTATGACTATTATTCTTAGTGCTATTATTCCTATTACTATTATTTCTGCTATGCCTATTATTCTTATTACTTTGATTACTATCATACTTACTATTCCTCTGATGATTATTAGTACTACTATTATAATAAGTATTAGTATGGCTATTTTATGCCAATGATGTTGCTACTATCTGTTATTATATATCCATACATTTTTGAACTCTCTCTCTCTGCCGCTGCACTATTCTATCCTATTTCAGTATGTTACAAGATTCATGAGAGTTCATCAGGGGGCCGAAGCTCCGAAAGCTCCCTCCCAGAGCCACTAGCGCAGGTGCCTCGTCAGGGATGCCGTTCTCCTTTCCGAAATCAATGAGTGGCTGGATGTTGTTCATTCCGCTCAGAAGTGCTCTGGGACAGCAAACCTGTCATCGGCGCGTTTGGGACAGTCTGATACAAGCTCCGAAGCCCGATCGCACCTGGTACTCCTGCTCCTCGATGAGAGGCTGCCGGTTGACCGTGGTGAGCTGATGCTCGTCATCGGCTAGGCAGCCGTCATCAAGGTGGAGAAAGCCCGGCCGTTCGAGATCCCCTGCGCGGGAGTGCTTCACGGCTTGCGCCAGCGTGGAGCCCTTCATCTTCACCACCGTGAAGGGCTTAGTTGGCAGCTCCGCTTGGTGAAAGGGCCGAGCAACTCTAAACAAGGAGGCCCTTACCGTAACGTTTGCCATGTTTGCCAAGGCACTTCGTCAAATGCCAGCTCCTTGTAAAGGTCCCCCAAGGTAAAGTCACCAGGCTTGTAGCTCTGCTTGCCCCGCATGCCGCCACCATTCATGGCCACCACCTCGACCTCATGCTGATGCAGACCTCGGTCTCGTGCAAGCTTGGTTGCTCATGGTGGTTTGACAACAGCTACATTCGACAGCACGTCATGCCAAAACCATGGCCGGCGAACCCCGCTTGAACTTCTCAAGAAGAAAACCAGCCAACTTGGACGGCTCATAGCGCACATTGAGGCTGGACATCTCACAGGGCAAGTTCGTGATGGCTGCCTGGCGTCATTCTGCAGGCTCTTTGGCCATCTTGTCTCCCAAAACCCTAAACCCTAAACCCTAAACCCTAAACCCTAAACCCTAAACCCTAAATCCTAAACCCTGAACCTGAACCCTGAACCCTAAACCCTAAACCCTAAACCCTGGACCCTGCTTTAAAAAAAAGAGTCTTTTGCACGCGGTGCCTCCATGGCCTTGACTACGAAGTCTTTCCGCTCCTTGGTCCAAGCCTCGGCTTTGGCCTCCCCTGAGAACGTCTCCGCTGGCACCAGGCGATGTCGGCGCCTTACCTTGTAAGGTTTAGGGTTTAGGGTTTAGGGTTTAGGGTTTAGGGTTTAGGGTTTAGGGTTTGGGGTTTGGGGTTTAGGGTTTAGGGTTTGGGGTTTGGGGTTTAAAGTTTAGGGTTTAGGGCTTAGGGATTAGGGTGTTTGATGGTGTTTGGGATGTTCCCCCTTATAATAAGTACTAACAGTCCTTAATGGGGATTATGGTTCCTCTTCGCATAATTCGTTTGAAGGACTGTTAGTTTTAGGAGGAACATCCCAGGCGTTTTTCTCTCAGTTCTGAAACTGTCGGTCAAGTCGCATCTCGATGTTTGCCATACTTTCTGCCATAGATGTGTATCCGCATGTGTGGATATCTTGTATGACTATCTTTCTGAAACACACACACACACACACACACACACACACACACACACACACACACACACACACACACACACACACACACACAGATATGTATATATATGATTCAGCCCCGGCGGGCCCCCCCCCCCCCCCCCCCCCCCCCCCCAATGGTACCCCCCCCCCCCTGTGGTGTGGTTGGGGGTTGGTTTTAGGGTTTTAGGGTTTAGGGTTTAGGGTTTAGGGTTTAGGGTTTTAGGGTTTTAGGGTTTTAGGGTTTAGGGTTTAGGGTTTACGGTTTAGGGTTTAGGGTTTAGGGTTTAGGGTTTAGGGTTTAGGGTTTTCCCCGCGGATGGGGTACTAAGATGATCCCCCCCCCCCCCTGTGGTGTGGTTGGGGGTTGGTTTTAGGGTTAGGGTTTAGGGTTCAGGGTTTTAGGGTTTAGGGTTTAAGGTTTAAGACTTAAGGTTTAGGGTTTAGGGTTAGGGTTTAGGTTTTAGGGTTTAGGGTTTAGGGTTTAGGGTTTAGGGGTTTAGGGTTTAGGGTTTAGGGTTTAGGGACCGTAGAGTAGACTTGGGGGGGGGGGGGGATACCATGGGGGGGGGGGGGGGGCCAGGACGCTCGACGCTGAACCATATATATATATGTGCACATACACCAGTACGCCCCCTTCAAGTCGCGCACTGCGCATGAGCACAACAGAACACTGCTTTTAGCATTGCAAAGAGCGAAGGCGGGAGCTGCGCCCCCAACAAAAAAGTCGCACAGGGCAAGTTGCACCCGAACTCGTCCACCACACATCGATGATGGCGATTTGGGCGCCATCTTGGCCGGCCTTTACAATTAAGGAATCTCCGCTGGATTCCTCGAAAACCGTGTGTTCGTGGCCACCGAGGATGACAGGGACCTCAGCATGGCCAGAGATACAGTACCAAATTGATACCGACTGCACTGTCTAGGATTCAAGGGTCGACATTTTTGTGGATGGTGCACTTCTGGCGAGCTCTGAGCATCCGACCTTGCCTTGGAAACGCTCATCCTTCTGGAAGTCCAGAGCCAGATCACGGTCTTCTGCGATAAGCTGGTGCGTCATGGGCACCATGATGTCAAGTGCCTGAGCCTTGGCTGCCTCATCCCAAGCCACGGCGCAGGATTCTAGAAATGGCCGCATGATCGGGCAGCCCTTCGCGGAGTAGATGCTCTTATCTTGCGTGCACAGCCCAGTGAAGAGCACGTTCTTGTCGCCGACCTTGACCACGTCAAACCTGGGAAGGCTTCTCAACTCTGGGTCCTCGCCGTTGGTGTTGATCAGCTTTCCTGCCCGATGTACTACAATGACCCGAATCTAGGAAACCCTAAACCCTAAACCCTCAACCCTAAACCGTACACCCTAAAGTTGTATATAGACCAGCCGGCTACTCCTACGAACCGGAGCTCACATGGCCTTTAAAAATGGGCAACCGGACTTGGAGCTGCTTCTTGTTCATGTCGAACTCATGGTTTCCCAAGCAGGCGTAGTCCAGCTGCGCATAGTTTAACGCTTGCATCATGGTTGTTCCACCATCCAGGGCCGTGTGGATGCATGGCGACAGGAAGTCGCCGTTGATGTGCGAGGTGACCACGCAATTCTGCGACTCGCACAGCTCCCGGGCCTGCACCACTGCAGATGCAAATCTTGGATAGTTGTCCAATATATACACATCATTGATCATGATCATCCGGAGAAAAGTGCCCACGGCATCCGGTGGTCTGGTGAAGGCAGACTCGGGCTCAGAGCTCGGGGCTTTGGAGCCACTCGGGCTGGGCGCGACCTGCTGCGATGAGTTGCAGCCCATGCTCGTCTGAGAGAGGGCACTAAATGGCTAACAAGGCTCTCGACTTCCGGAGGCGCTGCAGCACAGAGACTCTTTCTTCTAACAAGTGAGAACTTCCGTGTGGCAAAGAACATAAGCAAGACCCCCCGCCCAGGCATGCCGATAGTCTAATCGCCAATTTGCGGCTGACTCGTTGCATGTAACTGCCGGGTCTTGCCAGACACAAAGCCAGTGCACCTCTCGAAACGCAAAGAGCAGCAAGACCCAGAAAGACTAAACATTCTTAGGCGCAGCTGCTGCGAAGCTTGATGCTGTGGTCCGATTCCGACTGACAGAGCAACATGTAGTCATATTGCACAATATCGTAGCAACTTGTGTAACCCAGGCTTGTCCACCTCACCACAGAACCAGATGTTTGGGATTGCTGAACGATCCCTTGACCCGAATCTGGCCTCCGCTTCTTCAGCTTCACTCAGGACAACATCCAGCTTCACTCTGAGGGGGGCACGGACTTGACAAACGTCAGGCGTCTGGCATGGAAGTTCGAAATTCAACAGCAGCTCAAGTAACTACAACCAACTCAAGAAGCAGACATGCGTCTAGAAATGCATCACGCAAGTGCTGTTGGAAGACCGACATTTGAAGTGACATTTATATACAAGCGTGCCAAAAACCGACGAATCACAAAACTTGTTTTTCAAAAGTGGCATCATGACATATTCAATGCCAGCCGATGTTCATCTAGACATGTTGCTTGCTGCCCAATTGTGCGTGGCGTTTACTCATGCAGTCCGCCCTGCTGAGCACGCTTCAGAGCGAGCTATGTGGTGCACTCGTATAGTAACTTGGGCAGGTGGGCATTTGCTCGGCATCATCGTAAATGGAGATGCCGCTTTTGGTGGTCTTGTTCCTGCGACATGCGTCAATCTCTCTGGGGATCTCTAGTCTTCAGGCGCTGTGAGCACACAAGGCCCGGGCGCAAACTGCTTGTATCGATGCCTTGGCAGTGGAGAGTACCAGAGACAAAACCTGCGGACGAAAGCACACGGATGCAGAGGTCCCGGCGGGGAAGCAGAAAACCGGAGTGGGGTTGCATCGCTGCTTTCCAACCTGAGAATCAGCAGCCCCCTGTCACTGTACTTCAGACGTCTCGTCTTCGCCGAAGCCAACTACTAGAAAGAAAGAGATCGGACGGCGAGAGCAGGAAACAAGTGGGGCCATGTTTGGCATTTGCATCTGCCACGGTTTGCTTACTAGCTGAGTATGGCAACGAAATTCAACCTTTTACGGCAGGCTTTGATGACCGCCCAGGCCCACACCAGAAAGATGAACGCATCGACTATCATCGACTCTCGCCCTCAAAATGTCCCCCACGCTCTTTCCAAGGCCACTCGGAACGATGGCATGCTGCTTCAATCATGCGTAACATGGCCCACGAGGCATCAAAGACTCTGGCCTGCAAGATCTTTCCCCCATTCAGCCGTAACAAGCTTAACTGACAACACACTGGCGCACGTCCTCCGAATGGCTCTCAAAGACTTCAACCAGACAGACATGCGCTTCAAAACACAGCCAGTAATAAACATTCCAGTATCCAGCGCATCAGAGACGACTCCAGGGGACTCGCTACATCCGCGGGCGTTCCCTCAAAACATCGGAGGCCCTCTGTCATCAATCCAAGCAACCATCACCCTATACACTCCCTCGGGATTGAATACAACCCCCAAACAAACCCCTGTATACCAGCGTTCTCGATCTTGAGACGCAATCTCTCGAAGCTTGACGGTTCTACAGAACTGAAGCCAGTGCCATCTAATTTTGCTCGATGGCGCATCCTAAACCCTAACCCTAAAGGCAAAATCCCTATACACACACATCATGCATAAAACCAAGGGCTCCAAGAAAGAGATTGACAATTATTCTGAGCTTCCGACTCTGTTCCCATTTCGTCTTGGGCAATCACATGTACTATAGGCATGCACGTCCAGGGGGTCCAATGCCTCAACTCAAAGAGAAGTCATTTCTCATTGCGACCTCTGGATATCTCTGCTTGCGTGATGGTGTTATATGGTGTGTGTGTGTGTGTGCGTGTGCAAGTTGCAAGCTGCACTGCCACTTGCTAATTCCCGGAGGCGTGGGCCAAAGCCAGTCGACCCATGGCTGAACCCCTGGTGTGCAGCTTGGCCTTAGCTTCTGTCACCCACGACAACACTCCGAGCAAGGAACCTGAAGAACACGGAGACGTCGCGGAATGACATTCGGACGGGCATGGCTGAGGTTTCAACAAGCAGGCCGCCCAGTCCGCATGCTTCTCGTAGCAGGTCCTTGGCTGCAGCGGCACATCTTGAGCAACTTGCAGGGGTAATCAAGAAGCAACCCGACCGGATGATACACCGGGCACCAGGCATGCTCGCATCACAGCACTTGCCGCTGGCACCACAGTCCTGCTTTTTGCGCTTGCACCCACAAAGACAATGGAACCTCACTGCACCGTCCTCGACATAGGCCGTCGCACATTTCCCGACGCCCACTTCATCCAACACGACTAATTCATCGCGGGACGAATGATTTCCTCGGAACAAGTAAAAAAACAAGTCGGCACTCCACAATCTAGATGCTTGAAATGATCCCCCTCCCGGCCCAACAAAAATCGGAAGAAGCATGCGTCAATTCCACAATAAGCGTCGCTGTGGTCTCAGACTGCCCTTGCCGGGGTTGGCAATCACATCGTCCTAAGCACCAAGATGCGCCTCTGAGCTCGCAGCTACACAACCGGTGCCGACAGTAAGATCAGAGCAGGCAGGAGCACACACACGGCAAAGATCCAGGCCTCATAAAACAAGGCATCACAAAAACAAACAAACTTTAATTTGGGGTTTCAAAAACATGTCACCAATATTGTCGACCGGCCACCTTGGCAAATCTCCAGCGCGCCATGCAAAAGCCGTGCTGCTGAGCCCGCGCTGCGCAAGGCTGCATGTGCGAACGTCAAGTAAGCCACGCTGCTGTCATGCTGCGACGCACAGTTGCAGTAAAACATCTTCTGCATGTGGCAGCATACCCCGGATAGCTGAGCACAAGGTTTGTGCCGCAGCGTACGTAACATGCCGAAGGTCTACTTCTTTTCGCACAAGCATATGTCGCGGGCGCCAAGCTACGGGTTTGCTACTCTCAGGCGCGGAGGGGTAGGAGGCTGGGCTGGCTTGGGGCCACGAGCACTCCAAGCGCGGGTCCGCTGGGGTGGAGCGGGGCCGGCCACGTGCTGCATGGCCACTCCCCGTATGCCCCATGCATCCCCATGCACTAGTGGCGCGACTGGCCCGCACCTACCGAAACCCGGAGAGCAGGCCTCGTGCTGCGCGCGCACGCAAAGGCGGTCGACTGGCGATGCGCCCGAAGTACTGCAAACGACGCAAAGGCTGTCCAGCATTGCATCGTAGAAAAGTATGCGCTCGGGTAGCATAGAATAGTGCCGCATAGGGGAGAAAGGCGGCCAGTTCAGGTTGGCCCACCAGGTTGCAGCCTTTCGCCATCATTGCGGCCAGCAATAAATGAATGGACCGGTGGTGTCGTAACTTCTGGTTCCCCCACTTCCCCAACAGAAAAAATCTCTACAACGGGCTGCGCAAGCCCACCAAAAAAGTTGGCACCTCCCAATGCGTTCTGCCAGCTTGCACCAGGAAGTTTTTTATTTCCCGAAAGCTTCAGCGAAGGGTTCTTCGGAAAAAAAACGTCAACCTACCATCACCACACTACAATCACCACACTCCAATCACCACACTACCATCACCACACTACCATCACCACACTACAATCACCACACTCCAATCTCCACACTACCATCACCACAGTACCATCACATCACTTCCGCTATTAAATTCTCTCTTATTTCTTAGGCTGGGGCGGGTTTCGCCGCGGCTAGCGCGATGCACCCCTCTGCGGGGATCGCGCGTGTCGGAGCGCTCCCGCTGTGCGTTTTTGCGCATTTAGATGTGCGCCCGCGCGCCCTCTGCGGGGATCGTGCGTGTCGGAGCGCTCCCGCTGTGCGTTTTTGCGCATTTAGATGTGCGCCCGCGCGCCCTCTGCGGGGATCGTGCGTGTCGGAGCGCTCCCGCTGTGCGTTTTTGCGCATGTGGATTTGCGCCTGCGCACCCTCTGCGGGGATCGTGCGTGTCGGAGCGCTCCCGCTGTGTGTTTTTGCGCATGTGGATTTGCGCCCGCGCACCCTCTGCGGGGATCGTGCGTGTCGGAGCGCTCCCGCTGTGCGTTTTTGCGCATGTGGATTTGCTCCCGCGCACCCTCTGCGGGGATCGTGCGTGTCGGAGCGCTCCCGCTGTGCGTTTTTGCGCATTGTACAACTTGCTTCGCACACCCTCTGCGGGGATCGTGCGTGTCGGAGCGCTCCCGCTGTGCGTTTTTGCGTATTTTCAAGCGTGGTCGTGCACCCTCTGCGGGGATCGTGCGTGTCGGAGCCTTCCTCACCTCTTCCTCTCCTCTTCCTCTGCTCTTCTTTTCCTCTTCCTCTCCTCTTCCTCTCCTCTTCTTTTCCTCTTCCTCTCCTCTTCCTCTCCTCTTCCTCTCCTCTTCCTCTCCTCTTCCTCTCCTCTCCTCTTCCTCTCCTCTTCCTCTGCTCTTCCTCTGCTCTTCCTCTCCTCTCCTCTTCCTCTCCTCTTCTTGCTCTTCCTCTGCTCTTCCTCTCCTCTTCTTCTTCTTCTTTCTTCTTCCTCTCCTCTTCCTCTCCTCTTCCTCTCCTCTTCCTCTCCTCTTCCTCTCCTCTTCCTCTCCTCTTCCTCTCCTCTTCCTCTGCTCTTCTTTTCCTCTTCTTTTCCTCTTCCTCTCCTCTTCATCTCCTCTTCTTTTCCTCTTCCTCTCCTCTTCCTCTCCTCTTCCTCTCCTCTTCCTCTCCTCTTCCTCTCCTCTTCCTCTCCTCTCCTCTTCCTCTGCTCTTCTTTTCTTCTTCCTCTCCTGGAAAGTCGACTTTAGTAGTACAAACGTAGTACGCCGCGGACGCCCGCAGCTGC